ACAGGATTATTGCACAGACACTGCTGCATCTCCCCATCACTCCAGGCCACCTGTGTCCCAGTACCAAATCCTGCTGCCTACATGCACAAATACACAAAGCATCAACATTCCAGTACTTACAAGGACCAGTTGACTAGGTTCCCAACAATGAGCAGCACCATCCTATCCTGGAGAAAAGACACTGATGATCATATGAAATGAAGACAGTATGCAAAAAGGCCTTTGCCTCAGAAATTCAGGGGAGCATTATGTGAGGATTTGGGAGTCCAGTTCCTGCAAATGCATATGCACCTGGCTCTGTGGAAGCTTTTATCAGATGGATACTGCTCTGACCCTCAAAAATTTTAGGAAAGTGTTACAAGGAGACTAAGCATCTAAAAAAGGACAAGCTCAGCACTTAAGGGATCAGCCTCAGGAGGTTCTGTGAATCCTTTGACTGCTTCTACTGTTTTTCTAGTTAGATTCCTTCCCTCCCACTGTTTTACAAAAGAATTACTGCAGAGAGCACGGATGTGCTCGAAAGAGGTAGCAGGGAAGCTTTGAACAGCATCCTGCACATGTTCAGGGAGCTATCTTTTCTTGCCTTCTCACCATTAGCTGGGGAAGTGCTATAACAACAGCAGGGAGAAGGATTACATATGTAGGGCATGTGCATTTATGCTTACAGCTGCTTTCATGATGTAGCTGTTTCAGGGTGGCCAGGCTTACTTCATGCCTGAGTGGACCAAGTTTGCTTATTCAGAGATAGGAGAATAAATAAAAAATTAAGAAGAAGGATGCTCATATGAATAAAAACTCCACATAGTTCAAGCTGTAATTAGCACTCTGCTAAGGAGAAAGGAATCAGTGGGATTCAAGGTAACAGCCACCATTTCTTAACTTTTTGCTATCTGCCCTGAGGTGCAGCAGAAATGGCAATTGCTTTTGCTTAAGCCACAGACCCAAAACAGTTGCAGCCTTCCCCAGAGAGGCTGCACTGCACAGAGCCTCACACCTGTTCCTCTGAATGGACGCTCCAGAGAGCAAGTGCAAAGGCAAATCCTGTCACGCTTGTATCACCTTGCTCTGTGTTTTATTCACCAAGGCTGAGATCAGGGGAGGCCTGGAGGTTGGGGGTAAACCACTCCAGCAGAGATCTACACTTACCCAACCATTTTGGGGGAAAGCAACAAGGGAAGTGAAGACAGTCACTTTTTCAAACAGCCCCACCTCTTTCCTCGGCACATTGCCTAAAGAAGTGAGGAATTGCTGAGAGGTGCTGGGATGAGAAGTCACCTACCATGTACATTGGTCGGCTGCACTGCTGGATACAGTCCGTGTACAGCACCATCACTGCTCGCCGAAATACACCCATGTCTGTCAAATGAAAGGATAAATAGCCAGAACAGCCAGCACAGTGAGCTCTTAAATGCCTATGAGGAAGAAGCTGACACCCTCCAGCTGACAACAGAGAATGCCAGGTGTCAGCAGATTCATGTCTTGCCCTCTGGAGGCAGTCTGTGCTGAGCAAAAGGGCATCCACCACAAGATGTAGATGGCAGTTGGCCAGAACAACAGGTTATAACAAAAATAAATTTAAAAACTCCCTCTACACTAGCACTGCCCAGGAGTCACACAGGCCCTGCCTATATGTGTAAAGAGGCTGGCTTTGCAACACCATCTCTGGAAGAGAGGTGTGTGTATGTAGGAAGGGGGAAAATTTCCTTCCATGGAACAAGCTGCCAGAGCAGGGAAACAGCAGAAACAGGCCCCACAGGCTTTAGAGGGTCCTAGAGCACACTCAAGGCACTCTTGCTCTCAAAATCATTGCAGAAACTTCACTACAGAGTCATCAGCGGCAGTGGGGTTGGACAAACATGCATGAATACACATGTTCCCCTTCAGGCACAACACAGAACTCCTGCACCAAGATCTGAGCTCCCCTGTGCTGGATTACTCCCTCCCTGCCAAGGAACAGTGCTGCTGACAAACTGGTTTCACTTCCAAAAAGCTGACCCCAGCTGGCACATGATCCTGCCTCCCCACACACATCCATGCAATCCCTGGCTACTACACCTCAGCATAATCGGTTCAACAGGAAAAAAAGGAAAGCTGTGGACAGTTACCTGAGTCAGAGCCATCTGAGGCAGACAGGGGCATAAGAGGAATAAGAAATAGGTTTATAAGCAGAGTACAAGAACAATGCTCCTCACCCTCTCCCACCTCGCTCCATAACAGGGTGTAGGTCACCTCTCTGAGCACAGCACTAGGGAGAACTGCAGCTGAATGGCAGCTCCCTCAGAGCCCAGCAATCCTGCCACCACAGAGCACACAACTCCTGCTGATTCCCACTGCTCTGGGAAGCACAAGGACTTCAGAGGCCAAAAAAGAAAGCATCAGACGGATGAGAGGACAGGGTAGCCCAGAAGAGGGGACACAGGACTGTCTCCTGTGAGGACAGGAGACCCCCATACACCCAGGAGGAGATGCTTCAGTCACAGCACTCACCAATCTTGAAGCGACCCATGTAGTAGATCTGAGTGCTGAGAGCCAGTGAGGCCAAAACGTGGATCATTGAGAAAATAACCCAGAACCACATGTCGTTTTTCCCAAACACCTGAAAGCAAAGACATTTTAAAAGTAAACTGAGCCCTCTTTCAGCAGGACAATCCTTTCCTGTCTGTATCACCATGGGACATTAAACAACGTCAATGAACACAGAAAGAAACCCCTAGATCTTCCAACCAGAAAACAAATTCGAAACAAAGTCCAGAGAAGCAAGAGGAGCTCAGCATCCTGGAGAGGAGACCATTCTTTCTGAATGCCCCTTTAGACAAGACTGGATGGACAGCAGCTGGCTCAGGGAAAAGAAATGCAGGGACTCCAAGGCCAGGCAAGCTCTCTCTGTTGAGCTGGGCAGCAGCTCTCTGGCCAGGAGGTAGATTTTTACCAAGGCAGTCAGGGAACCACCCATTTCTTTAACAACTGTACTGAAGTAGACCAAAAAAAGACAGAACTGCTCTGCAAGCAATTGCTCCTACTATGAATTTTCATTTTATTTAAGGACTGGAAGTAACCTGCAAGCATAGGTTAATGCTACATTAAAATCCTAATTTTTCATTCATACAAGAAGGAGTCCAGAAATTCTGATCTGCCATCAGGCTGTGAAAACTTCATTACCCTGAGGCAAAGCACTCGCCTGAAATTTTCGTTTTGTGTGGGCAGAGAAAAAAACCCACACAACAAAAAGCAAGCAGAAAAGCCACGTCTCCATTAATGGAACAAGGGAGACATGCTGCTTTCAAGCTCCACTAAATAGCTTCAAGGCATCCTACAAAAGAAGACCACAATCCATAATAAAGTCTCAGTGTTTTGAACCTTGTCAAGATCTACCACACCTATCAAGAGATTCTTGGGAAATCCCAAGGTCACCAGCTCCTCCTGCATGCCTTATCCCACAGGCAGTCTCGTAAACAGAGACCACTGCATTATGTGGTAGTGAGGAGCTGACATCCCACTGGGATCTAGCTGCTAGTTTAGAGCAAGAATTCCATGGATTTTGGCTGGTTACTGATGAATGAAAATGAGTCCTTCAAAAGGAAGGGAAGCAGAGACCTCCAAGGTAAAGCATAGTTTGAGGATTCTGGTGAGCCCAGCTCAGTACTTGCAATGCTACGAGCAAACGGGCAAAGTCTTGTAGCTTCTGCTCCAGTGCCCTTCCATAGGCAGGTACTCCAGGAATTTGCCTGAGAGCCCCCCAGACATTATGTTAGCCCTGCTCCTCTTCAGAGATAGGAAAATCAACTGCAGGAGCTGTGACAAACAACATGGAGTATTCCAAAGGAGAGAAACAGGCACAAGCAACTAGGTATAAGACACCTGTCTTGGAAGCCCAGCCAGCCTCTCCCCTCTTTCCTCCACTGTGAATCAAACCACAGGAAGACCATCTGTGCACTTGGACATGTATATCCAGATGCATGAATTTCTCCTCTGGAGAAGGATGGCATATGGTGGGCAAAGCCCAAAAAAAGAGCCCACCTAGAGGAAACTGTTCTGCTCTTCTTCTACCTAAAAGGTCAGGGAAAAGAAGGAGGAAAGCCCAGCAGAACTGAGAATTCAAATGCTAACAGCTTAACACACTCTTATCTGACTCTGTGCTTTCCTCAGTCATTTTCATACCTAAGCCATGTTCCCAGCCATGCCACCTCCTTCCCAGAGAAGCAGCCAAGTAAGAGGGAGCCATACCACTCCAAGGACAGCCAGGGAGATCACCACAGCAAACGAGGCATAGGCAGAGTAGGCGCTGGCATTGATGTCTGGATGCCGGGTCTGGTAGAGCTTGAGCATGCAGAGTCCTGCAATCATGTACATGAAGGAGGTGTCTGTGGAGAGACATAACACAAACAGCACAAACAGCTACCACCAGTGGCCCCAGAAAGCTGCTCCAAGGGCACACAAAGCATCAGGGATCTCTGCCTGCCAGCCTTGGATTTGGCCCTGCTGCTGCACTATACTGTACGGCACTTGGTGCTTTGCCACCTTGCAGCAGCACATCTGCCATGCTCAGGGGCAACAAAAACTAAAGAGGATCAGAAAATAAGTGCCCACAGGGCATCACAACCTCCTGACTGACCTTTGAAACAGACAGGCTCCAGGGAGACTTGTAAGAGTAGAGAGATGGGAAACGTCAGCAACTCAGCAAGAGACAGAACGTGGTAAATCCTAGCTGCAGTTCAAAAGGAGAAAGGAAACTCAGCTTACCAAACTGGAAATTGGAGTAATTAGGGCAGACGTGGTAACAGGCACTGAGCACCCCTTCCATCATCAGAGCAATGCCCATAGCATAAAAGAGACCAAAATGCTTTGGGATCCCATAGTCCTGGAAGAGAGCAGAGCTGTATAGTAAGTGCCTTCAACGTCCTGATAACAGGCAAGCTTCCATTCTCCGTCACTTCATCCCTCCTAACTCCTGGACAAGTCCTCCAGCCACCAGTGCAGCATAGTGTCCTGTGTGCAACCACAGCCTCTGGATTTAGACACATGGCATAGCCAGGTGAATCCACAGGCAGCAATCCTAAGCTAATCACGCTGAAGTTCTGATCTGAAGACCTCAGTGTCTTGGTACTGACATCACGAGACTGAAAATCTCTGTCCTGTGCCTCATGTCATGCTACATCCTGCCCAAAACTGAGAGAGGACTGACCAGAATTGCTCTTGTGGTCAGTAGGGTCTTAGAAGCACATGAACAGAGCCTATCAGCCAATGTGAGAAGACATTTCCATCACAATTTGGCCAAGATTTCACCTGTAAACCACAAGCAGTAGACCCTTACAGCTGCTAATGCCTTTACTTGCTACCAAGCCCATAAGAACAGAGCTGTTTCCAGAAACCACCAGACCTCTGCCCATGGGGCTGCAGATTTCTCCATCCTCTGCCAAAAGAGATTACAGAAGCTCTGCTTCAGAGACTAAGGCAGCCAGATTTCTCTGAGTTATCATAAGCAGCTCTTGTGTAAGACAAATCAAACTTCACTATAAAGAGAAGAATCTTGGGACACTCCTAGTGTCCCAGTTTCTCCACAGCAAGTGCTGCAGGAAAAGCCAGAGCCATGGGAGTCCTTTCTCTATTAATCTCCTTGTCCTCACAGGCCCAGGCTGGGTCACCACCATAGCAGTATGGATATACTGTAAGCAGTAAAGCACTGGGGTGTGCAGGAACATAAGCATCCCACTTAGACCCTTTTGCACAGGAGGAAAAAAAGAGGAAGATTCAATCCTCCAGCAAGGAACACAAGTGGAAACCCATTGTGTATCACTCTGGTTTTTACGTTCACTCCACCTTCCCTGCCTCCCCTCAGCCCCAGGCAATCCTGCTTCCTACCAAGGTGTAGATATCTTTCATCTCCATGGCCCGACGGTGGAGGATGTCCCTGCGCAACACAATGAGGAGGAAGAGAAAGCCCAGCATCATGTGGCCCACGTTACTGAGGATGTTGTTGAAGGCACTGCAGGAAAGAAGAATGTTTAAGACAAAGCCAGCACAGCAGCAGGAAGCTGAACCCTGGGTTGTGATAAGCTGAATCCATTTTGCTCCCCCCTCTACAACCTTCCACCTCAGCAGCTGCCGAATTGCAATTTTACACTCTAGATGACAACTTTGGTTTGAATAGTTCACCTGTCTCAGTTAATTTAACACTTCTTCTGTGAGATTCTCAACTCTGGGCTTTCTTTGCATTCACACATTAATTTAGAGAAATGCTGGAAGGACTGATCTGAACTTTGCAGAGCTGCTGCTCCTTGGATACAAAGTGTCCAGTAGAGCGCAGGGCGGGGGGGATGGATGGACCGAGGGACACCTAATAGCTGTGCCAATGATTTGCAAGGGGCACCCAGGTGCCACAGGTTCCAGGGTGCACGTGTCTTACTGCAACAGAGCACCACTGGTGGGCAAAACACAAAGATCAGAGTCCTAAACTCCCAGTGGTCTTATCAACGCTGCTACTGTGAGCCTGCCAATCATAAAATCTTAACCTGGGCACAAAACAAACACTCAGGAGGCATGAGATAAATATGCAGTGACCAAAAGGCTCACTCACCTCAGCACCCCAAGGGGATGAGCACACAGGAAGTTGTAGTAGCAGATGTCCTGATTGCCCGTCACATTCACTACCTGGACAGAGAGCAGGTGGGAGGCCTGGCATTAGCAAATCCTCCCAGCTCTGGGGGGTTTGCCACATGCAAACACAGCACAAAGACAAGGTGTACCAGGACGCAGCCTAGCTCTAGCACTGGCACAGGGGAGTAATGACATCTGCAAGCAGAGCTTTTAGGGTGGGACAAGATGTCACAGGCCATAAACCTGAAAACAGTCTTCAGAGGAAACATTGTGTGTTCTCAACCCCCCTACTAGTAGACCTGCTTGCAGATATCTGCATAACAGCAGGATAGCAAAGCCTGGGAGAAGGGAGGAGAAATCACAGCAAACACTACTTGCTTTCAGCTGTCTCTTAGAAATAGCATCAAATTCCTCCTGTCTCTAAAATGAAACAGGATCCAAATGAGACATCAGTTGAGCAGGAAAACAGCAGCAGTCCTACTTCTCAAGCAGAAATAGCAGAGGTGCCAAAACCCAATGAACCAAGCTCAGTGTAACATCAACACAGTGCAACAAGAGCAGCTACAGTAAACTGCTCCTCACACAGAGCAGAACTCCTGGGTGATCCCAGTTTCACTGTGACTGTCATCCTTGCACAACCCAACTACAGGGCAAATTTAAAGCAAGAGGGGACAGTCATGAAGCCAAACGCACCGTCTGGTAAGTGATGACGAGCTGGATGACCGGCAGGGCATAGAACACCGCAATGGTGATGATGTTCCTGCAGAGGGGAGACGGCAATAGCAGTTACACACACACACCAAGACCAGTGGTGCACACCCAGAACAGAGCCCCACAGTGCTCGTGGAGGAATGTGCACACCTCACTGCTCTGGGGTTATGATCCCATTGTGACCCCCTAAAGCAGAGGAGCACATGTGCTTGTGCACACAGGAGGCAAATGCTAAGGGCATGGGAAAAGCCAGGATGTCGGCCACAAGCTCAGGTGTTTGAGTGCCAGTTTCTCCCCCTTCCCATTACGTTCCAGTGCATTGGTTGTTACCACACTTAAAAGCAATGACGCAAAACAGAATCCATTGCCAGGATCATGTGTGCACTGATCCACAAATATCCTTACTTGAGGTATGTGGGATCTGCAGTTACTGATTGGAACAGGGTCAGAATGGGTAACAGGATAGTTCAGAAGTGGTTCAGAAGATGAGCATGTGGACAGACTCTACAACCAGAGACTCTGGGTCCAGAGTTTGGGCCTTACCAGTTTGCCTTCTCCTTACCAGAAATAGATTTTGTATTTTTTGCTGACAATCCTTCGGTCTTTCCTGGACAAGTCCGATAGATAGAGGAACACCTAAAACATTAGTGGGTGGGGAAAGAGGGAAGAAAACACAGAAGAACCAATGTAGATTACAGATGCCAGTAGAAGATCTTGACATATTTGCAGCTTGGTGGTATTTGGACTGGTTTTACACAGTGAACTAACTGTGTCCCTTGATTCTATGGGAGTGAGTTCTGCAAAATCCTGTGACCTCCAGGAATGGCTCCAGCCACACAGAGCAATGCAGGATGACAAAGGGAGGCAGTTTGAGAGCTGCTGGCTTAAAGCCCCTCTGTACATCCACTGTAGTCACACTACTTGTATTAAATAGCCACCTACTGTTGCAGATTATTTTCTATCTTCACACCTCTTGGAACTTTCTGGGACACTCTGTGGGCATTTTCCTTCTTTCTCAACAGTCTCCAATACATTTTGATTTTCCATATTAAAGCACTCACTTTAGAAGTACTCTTACCATAGTGACAAAACTTTCAGTGACTGAAAAAAAGACTAAGAAGCACACTCAGCTGTATTAGATGAAATCCACCCTGAAAGGGAACAGGATTTTGAGATTTCACTGAAGTGACCAGTTCTGGTCATGGCCCAGACATCCCCATGGCCCAGCACAGGGACCACAGCTGCAACACCAGCCATACCTTAGTGCGGATGATGTTCTTATCACTCTCAATTTCTGGCATGGTGTCAAAGTCACTCTCCTCCTCCACAGAGCTGTCTGTGTCCGAACCAGCGGGAGGCCTGTGCTCCGGGGGGGACCGCTGATGTCCACCACTGGAGCTGGACTCATCTGGGCCAGAGCGGGGAGAAGGAGACAGGCAGGGTAAAGGCTAAATCCCCCTGTGCACAGCAAGAATAAAGCTGTCCCTGGTGCTTTGACAAGCTGATATGGCCAGTTCAGGGAAAAAATTTTTTCATGATCCTAAACCTTCCAAAACGTTTTAGGTGATCAGCTAAGAGCAGTTTGAAGGACCATTATCTTCCCCTCTCTGCAGCATTTTAGTTTTCATTCTGCTTTTATTCTATTACTTTTAATCTCTCAACATTTTCTACTCTCTACTAGCCCAGGCTCTGAAATCTGGAATTCAGAGACAAGACAAATACCTATAGAGAAAGAAGTAGACTGCTAGGGGTCAAAACCACACTCACCTAGTTAACCTTCAGATTTTATGTAAGCTTTATGTGTGTCTAAGCTTTTCTAAAAATACTCTAGAAAAAAAGACAAAGAAGAAAGTCGATTTTTCAAAGCAGGCAGAGTATCAGTTTTGTTCCCATTGCATCCCTGCCACTGGTCACATACAGGTCAGGAGGATGTGCCTGCACTTCCCACAGGCTAGGCAACTCCCAGCTCGTTGCCCACATCTATGTGGGCAGAACACAGGCTTCTTCCTCATTTCCCTAATGCTTTTAAAAGATTTCTTCTGAAAAAGGGGAAAGAGGGGTGAAGTGGTCATTAAGCCCTTAGGAAGGTTTTTTCCCCTCTGCTGCCAGGACATGATTCACCTGTTGGCAGTACAACATTATTTCTTCCCTAGTGAAATCCCTGGAGGCAAGAAACTCCGACTGTGTCTTGCTTTATGACACACAACCCTTCAGCCCCCAGGGTTAGGCATGCTTTGGATTAAAGGCAGACTGTGAGCTAATAACAGGTTCCTAGAAGCTTCCCTGCAAGGGACCTTTGTCAGTCACTAGTAAATGTCCTGTCTGAAGCAGCATTGTCTAAGACACATTTCCAATGACAGTCTCTTGGGGAACCTCTTTCAGATTTGCCACTTTTATTATGTAGATGCTTTTCCCCAAAGTACAACCTGAGCCTCACAAATGCAATTTGGTTGTTTTAGTTTTGGGGTTTTTTCCTAATAGTTGCAAGATGCTCCTAAAGTAGCTTGCAGCTTTATTCTCCTCTGGTGTTAAATCATCCTAAAAGTGCCTTCCTTGCCCCAGGGAAGAGCCTCCCTGTGCCCCAGTTCTGGAATATACTGTACCAATAGCACCGTAGCTGCTTCCCTCAGGAGTGCTGGCTGAGATGGGGTGTGAAGAAGTCATCATCCCAGATCCTGCAATGGAAACAGACCCAGGAGGGACAGTTAGTTTCATGTCAGTGCTTCAAAACGTCTCTGAGAGGAATGCAAACAGCTTGAAGAGCTGGAGGGGCTTGGGAAAAGGAACATTTCTCTAAACAGATGGCAGTCTCCCTCTAGAGCATACTGTGCAAAAGGGAAACCCTTGTTTTGCAGTGTGAAGGAAACCTATTCCCTTCAGCCTCCCCACACAGGGTGCCAGTGAGACTGGCAGCATGAGCCCCACTCCAGCACCCTGTACAGATAACACTGTGGGGCTGCAAGACTGGTAAATTTTAGAGCAAGTCTCATGATGTTCTTAACAGCCTTCTGAATTTCTAATTCTTCTCTTTCCCCATCTCATGCTACTCTTCAAATACTGCTTACCTTCAAGTATCCCTGGAAGAGTCACAGACTTTAGCAAGACAGCTCCTACATAATTTTAACCAATCAAGGAGAAAGGAAAAAATGCTTCATGAAAAAAGTGGTAATGATCTCGTGCTGATGACAAGAAGGGCAAGCCATTGAGGGCTAGGAACATCTTGCCTCCTGCCCACACATATGAAGCAAGGAGGAATGCTCTCCTGGCTCCACATTCCCTCTTTTTACTTCCAATGGTGGAGCTCAGCAGCTGACCTACATGGCAGGAAACAAAGCCTGCTGAATCCCTTCACTGATAGGTCAGTCACAAAAGGGAGGGAAGCAAGGGCAGCAGAAGCAGGACCACATTTTCCAGTAGTGACAAACAGTGAGACAGGTAAAGTTGTTTTAAAGCTTCACCCCTGCAACAATACCATGTGGTCAGTCAGCAGCAAAGCAATGCAGAACATGGCATAGTATTTAAAGCTTTACTGCAGCCTGGCAATGGCCTGGCTTCCCAAGATGCATCTCTGGCTTCCCACTACATGACTGGTCTCAAACTGACAGGCACAGGCAGAGTGCTCTTTCCAACTGGAAATTCTGGGCATTTCTGTAACACCTTGCATAGGCTTTCATACCATTTTCATTAGTCACAAATGTAGAGAGATCTAAAACTCGTCCCTGACTGACCTCAAGTCAGAGGAGCACCCATAAAGCAATGATATTTGACATTTCAAGTCCCAATTACAGCTTTTTTTGGCATGTCTGCAGTACTTGTTGGGCTGAGGGCTAAGACTTGATCTCAAATTTTGGCTCTTTTACACTCCTGCCCCATCCCTCTAACAGAGAAAACAAACAGCTCAGAGAAGCATCAGAAGTAAACATGGCATGGACTGAGCACTAGAGAGAGGGCTCTGGCACACTGCAGCCCCCAGGTGACAGCCCTTGAGCCCTGAGCTGAGATTGGCAGGATGTTGTACATTGCTGCAGGAGCAAGATGCAGCTTCTACTCATCACCTCTAATCCAAACTCCTTCTCTCATGGAAGCTTTTTCTGTTGCTTTAAAAGTCATTTGGAAATTCAGATCACTGAGAAGAGGGCAAAAACATTTCCCTGTGTTCATGGCAGCAAGGCACAAGCACAATTCCTAGACCTGTCAGTCCTGTTCCATGAGGATACTCCCTCCTAATTTTAGACCAGGCTTTATTCTCTCAAGTCAACCTTCTCTCCCAAGTTACTAAAGATTTAAATCTGCACAAAGCAGGCAAGCCAAGGAGAAAAGGCACTCTGCCTGTCTCTAACAGCCACTTTGAACCCAGCTCACCCACGAATTTCCATTCCACTTCCCACTGTGAGAGTGAGTCAGTAAAGTAAATGTACCACACCAGGCATGGTTCCTCCAGCTATTGCTTCCATCAGATAGTGAGGATGCAGAAGGGAAGGTGTGCCATGAGATTAAAAACCAGGAAAGCCAGAAATAAGACGGATAACAAACAAGAGCGAAGAGGCACATGGAGTGGCAGGACATTCCAAGACCAATGGCAAAAACACACTGCTGAGCACTTCCATCCAGTTCCTGGGTGAGGAAAAGGTATGGGGAGTAATGAAGAAGGCAAGATGCAGGGGTACTTGGGAGGAAAAGAAATTCCAAGGCGTGGGAAGGGGAGAAAAAAAACAACAGAGAGAGCCAGTGTGTCCACTGATCTGGCAGACAGGGAAGATGCTAATTACCATTTTATAAGCATCAGTCAGACAGATCCTGAAGAGACAATAGATGAAGAAACAGCCTGTGGGCAGGACATGATTCCTCCCCAGAGAAAAGGACATGGCTGCAGCAGGCAGTGCCAGGTATGTGAAAGTGGCAATGGATTACAAGGGAGAGGATAGGTCACAGAAGCAGTAGGTACCTCTGGGAGGAAAACTGTAAACTATGAAGGAACTGTGCTCCTCTCTCCCTTCACAGGGATGCTGTTCAGTAGTCCTCCCTGCTCAGCAACCCAGTTCTCTACTCTCCAGGTCCATACTAAGTCCAGTATCTGTGCCCTGCAGCTTCTTTGGGAACCTTCCAAACACCAGAATTTAACTTCCATCTCTCAGCAGGGCAACTTAGAAGGCAGCTCCTAAGCTGGCTTCAGCACATTAAATCTCAGCTGCAGCATCAGCAGCACTCCCTGGGACTTCTGGTCTCACCTGGCTGAGACTATGCCTCCTTGTCTTAGACAGTGATTCCTTGTCATCACCCTGGAGCTCTTCCACAGCCTTGGACAGGTCCCTTCAGCTTACTCAAACTCCCCAACACACAGGCCTTTCCCATTTCTCCAGTGCCTTAAGACCTGCTCTTGTTTTACAGCAGGATCCATCCCAAATGATATAAATTTAGAATATATGTATGGACATTTTTACAGTTCCCTGTTCATGTTGTGAAAAAAACCTTTCACACGTATTCCAAATACAGGGTTATATGTGGATCTTAGCGGCTGACAAAGCAAGTCTAAGAATTCAAATGCCCCCAGGTCCTCAGCAGAAACATTAAGCCAATTAATGCCAGTCAGAGTGAAGTTCCACTGCTGATCCTTTAAACACAGCTTAGTTATACTACCATGCTTATCTGATGGTATGTAGCAGACTGGAGAGACTGAAAACATTCGGCATCCAAAAAGGAATAACAACAAGAACCTTTCAATGCTTCCAAAATTATGTCCTCCCTTCCTCAAGGAGAGAGGTACAAATGACCTCAGCAGCAACATTTTGAACTTCTTTGCAGGCACTAAATATTTAATCAAAATGAAAAGGCGCCCACATTTCACCAGAAAGCAAGAACTCTCAGCGTCCCCCATCCACATGACAAAAACTTCCATCTTTCACTAGTAGCTTCTTAGATGCAGCTCTGTTTTTACAGAGCAGAAGGCTGCAGCTTGTGGAAATGTGGGTGCAGCACAAAGTAAACAGAATCCAATGCCAACATAAATATCAGAAACACTGCTACCTAACTCTGTTAGTCATTCATTCACCTGGCTGTCTGCAACTTCCAGTGAAAAACAATTTAACATTTAAATTCAATTAAGACATTAAAAGACCATGATTAAACCAGGCAGAGGAATTCTTAAAGCATAAGAGCTGACATACTCAAAAGTGCCTTGTTTAAAAATCAACAGACCTGGCATCAGGAACATTAGCCTGTAGCCAGATCTAGGAAAGGCTTGGCCTTCCTCCACTCCTTTAAAAGGCAGCTCCTGGAGGTAGGAGTCAGGACCAGGTTCAGGGCAGCTGGCTTCAAAGGCCCTCTCTTGTGAGGGCACAGAGGAAGCTCCAACATCTTTCCTCAGCACCAGAGACTATGTGAGCTGCTAGGGAAGACAGCTCCAGGACAGAAGGTACTCGACTGACAGCTTGTCCTTTGCCTGGCCTGTGCTGTTCACTCAAAGCTGTCACACGACAGAGAAGAGACCTTACCGTGCTCAGGACTCAATCTCCCAGGTGAAGCCTTCCTCTGAACCCTGCAAAGCAGCAGACAGCACTCATGAGACAGCCAACTAATCTCATCCTGCCAGCCACGGCAGGATTATCTTGGACACCAATAGGTAAATATGGTGCTCTAAAAAAACCAAATAAAACCGACAAAAATAAGCACAAAAGAAATAAACACAACAGCAAAAAAGAAAAATGCTGTTTGAACTAAACACAACTCAGCCATGACTGCTTGCTATCCACCTCTCTAACTTCCAAAGCAACAGAGGACTTTTTTTGCCTCCTCAGCTATCCACGAGAGGCAGGACAATCATTTCCATGACTTATCCCATGCTATATTGCTCAGTATGTTGGGAGAGACCCTCACACCACCTTCCAAACCCATCTTCCCTACTCGGGGGATCAAGTACATATGAATCTACTGAAGAGGTAACAGGATCTAGAGGCACTCACTAGCATGATGCTTAAGAAGCCCATATCACCTCCCTCAATGCAGATGTCAAGCGGAAGATGGTAAAAAGCAAAACCAAAAAACCCCCACCAACATATTCCCAGAACACAGAAAAATACCAGCAAATAAGAGCACACACTTAAGTCTTTCACTGAATTGTCCAATGAAATGTATTTTCATTGATGTGTCTTGAAGTTAAGCCATGCCCATGCAATCATTCTTCTCAACGCAAGCCCAGACACCAAAGTTTGGGGCAAGGAAGGAAAGTAAGGAAGGAAACCAGCATTCTTGGGACTCCAAGGCCCTATTTGTGTCACTGCCACTTATTGCAGTACTCAGTCCAGCATGCTCTCACACTCCATGTCCCAGACTGGTCCCTTAACAATTCTCACCTGCTGCCCAGTGTCCTTACATAAGAAAACACAATGTTGGGGCACTACAAGATCTAGAGGGCAGACCCTTAGATTTTCATCCTCCCCATGGTCCCCATAGCAGAGGAAGAAGTATTTTCTGGCTGATGGTCAGCAGGAGCCCACTGAATAGTCACGGACTTCTTCAGCTGCTCTGCTTAGATACTTGCCACCCCACTCATGCCCAGTTTTCTGCAGGGTGTGGAGTCCCTGATGATAAGAAACAGAAAGGCTGTTCTTTTATAACCCCTCAAACTCACCTGATGTAGTGCACAAAAGCAACAACCACTGAGCCCAGGTAAAAGGAGAGGAAACTCAGGAAGCTGAAGAACATGGCCTGGACATAAACAGACTCTGAGGAAAGATAAGGGATCAGTCAGCTCACAGAGCAGGAACAGCACCTCTCAGGGTCAGCATTCTTCCCAATACCACCTTGTAAAAGTTCCCAGCCCCAAAAAGCCCATCCAAACCCATTTGCTTTCTTCAAAAGGAATTGACGGAACCTGTTCAGCATTATCTCCCCTAATTTCTAGCTGGTGTGCCACACAGCTCTTCCTGGAAGGAAGCAGGTGCAAGTGGTTTTCTCTCCTCTGCTGGTGCTTTCTGCACCATTCCTTCAGAGGCTGCTGGCCCAGCCATACCCCTCTATTCAGAAGTGCCAAGTTCCCCTGTAAAGTTGCATTGCTCTGCCCAAAGGCACTGACTTTTAATGGAAGGCACAATCGTCACTTGAAGGTTCTTTGTCCGCTGCAGGTTCCAGGTACGGTTGACATTCCCTGTGAGATGCACAGTGTACAGCAAACATAAAAACAATCAACATTAACGATTTCTGGCACTGATCTTGGTTCTCTGAACTCACAAAAACAACAGTCTGGCCTTTCATTAAAATGTGTGGGTGGTTTTGCTTTAAACTGTTCTCTGATCTGTCAATATACAACTTTTCCCAAATATTTCCCCCTTCCTCCCTGTTCACAACCTATTTTTCAGACTAGAAATCCTTGCTTGAGCCTCCCATATATTAAGTATGGATGTCTGAATCCCAAAGACATCTCATCTCCTATTCATTTAATCCCCACAGGAGAGGGACTCTCATTACAGGTAGTGGGAGCCTATTTTTTGCCTTTGGCCAAATCTCTGTGAGTAAAACATTTCTGTGCAGGATGCCACTCTAGAAACTTGCTCGGTTTCTGCAGAGCTTAGCACGCCAGCTGTGCTGACAGCATAAGGATGAGAGAATGACACCCCAAAGGGCACAGTTCTTTTTTTTTTTTGTGCGAAAACGGGGGCAGAAAGGTGGCAGAGGAGTAGTAAAAAGCTGTTGAAGGAGCCCAATATATCTGTTGGTTTCAGTCTTGCTTTTTCTACAGGGAGGAAACTTTGAAGCTTTGAGAATAGTAATGTTGCCACTCCAGTTACAGCCACCACATGACTGGTGAAGACTTTGCTTTCACCACTGCCCAGCACGTGGACACAGTGTTTTCTGGTTGGAAAAGACACTAGAACAAGTCTTTTGTAAAATTATTCTCCCAAGATTACCAATTTTTCTTGTTCCCCCAAAGTCAGAGCTGTCACAGACCCCAAGACAGCAAAAGGAGAAGATGCTCTCTGCAGGAACTGAGCCTCCATGGAGCCAATACAGCAGCAGGGAGCAGAAGTGAGAAGCAAACAAAAAGCATTGCCTGGATGTCTCCAGTGTCTCCCAAGGCACCAGTGGTGCCGCTGAAAAGCACATAACCCCAGCATGCCAGGCGCTGTACTAGCCAGCCACTTCCTGCATTTATCAAGACTTTTAACCTGCCCAACAATATCAAATTGATACTTCACTCTTCCTCACAACTACCTGGATAAGACAGACCTACATAGTCACCCAGTGGCATCCCACAGGAAGGTCTCAGAAGACACCCAGTGCTTCATCACTCAGATGCAGCAATCAAATCCACCTCCTAGAACAACTTACCATGAATTGAAGAAGGCACAGAACCTCCACAGGCATAATCCTCTGGCTTGATGACGAACACAACAAAGAACTGCTCACCTGGGAAATCTTTTCTCTGCACAGAAGGATGGAAGAAGACAGAAAATCCATGAGACACAAAGCCTCTCCCCTCCAATAGACCAGAGATCAGGTTTTAATTGCTACCCAGGCAAAACCAAAACACACTGGGACACAAATCAGCATCTCACCTGCACTGTTATAGCTGCCTGCTTTGTCATAGACTGATAAACTCCATTGAACTCCACGTTATGGTCCAGGTCATACACTGGGCACTAAAACAGATAACTAAAGAGTTAAACCACGGACAACATCCAAACTATTTTCAAAGGAAGCCAGCAAACACAGCACAGAACAGCAAAAAAGGCTCCAATTGGGATATCCAAGCAAACAGAACATCATGCATCTCTGTCTGCTCTTATACTGCAGGACCCTGGATTATTCAGGGAGGTGGGAAAAGAAAATAAGTATGGGGCTATTTCCCAGCTGCAGGCAACAGCCAGCCTCCATGACAAAGAAAGCCCCAGTAAAGGGGATGAAATATACAGAAAGGAAATCGAACTGGAAAGGAAGAAGGACATCATATCTGAAAATCAGAATTTCCCCAAGCTGCCTTGAACCAGGGGAGAGTCAAAGGAACAGCACTGTTCCCTCCCTCAGCCACCAACATTCCACCCAACACCCTCCATGAAGAGACAGACCCATATCACAGGGCAGCAGGGAACCTCACAAGGGAGACAAATTCCCTATGTGGAATGTGTTCCCTATGGATAGGCTAGAAAGGAACAGCTCGTTCACCTATTTACAACAAGTCTCTGTATCAGCTGCTTGAACTCAGCATCTCTGTCTTGGCCTTCTTCCCACAGAATTTTCATTCTTCTTTCAGGGACACCCTTCACCACCATCACCAGGGCAAAGCCCTGCCTTGGGCTTTTCCCTCTGCAGAGCACAGACCCTCACAGCTGGACACAGCTCTAGCAGGCAGCTCCTTACCCTTCTCTGTTTGGACTTACCACAATATCCTGGACAGAGACAACAGAGCATGGGTAGGCTGCATCAGACACCACATTAATAATGACTGAATCGACATCCTGAGGAAATTTGTACAGAAAATACTGCAGAGAAAGCAGAGTACAAGAGTCATGATCCAGGAATCATCCTTGGCTGTATCTTCAACACCTTCCTACACTACCTGAACAGGCCTAGATGGGCTTTGGGGTTGGATGTGGATGCTTTACATTAAAAAAAATTAAATTTCAAATATTAAGACCTGATTTCAAATATCAAGACCTTACATATATATAATCAAATACATATATATTCAAATATTAAGACTTTATATTTTCAAATATTAAGACCTTACACTACAGACGAGCAGATTAAATATATACACACAACTGTCCCCCTTGCACAGTATGCTATTAGACACGACCATCTTCAACATGCAAAACACAGCGTAGTTCCCTTAAGCTTTTTTCCACCTGATGAAGCTAAAGTGACTTCATTTTACACCCCATTCAATTTTATGTTGATATGAGCAATTTTCAGATGCTTCCATACTTCTGGCTGTACTTTTTCATATGGAAAACATCACAGAGCTTTCTCAGATGGGTTGCCTCAAAGACAGACAGTGAACAGTATTAGGTCAAATGACTGAAACTCTGTCAAGAGTTTCATAAATAAATGATTGATATTAGTTGTAGAATTTAGGGCTGTTTGTTTGCTCTGATGGCAAAGTATAACGGGGTTTCTCTTTGCACTTCAGCTTTGAAAAGAATTCAAACTCAAAAAAAATTTAAGAGACACTAATATCTGGCAATATTCCTCCTTTTCCTGTCAGGGGAAGGAATGGCCTCTCCTTCTTTGAGCAAGCCCACAGGACAGTTTATGAGGTTAGAAAGAGTTGTTTTTTCAGATCTGGGCAAAAGATGTCCCAGGCAATATCATTATTTGTATATCTGCCCAGTAAAAAGTTTGATGCACTACCTCAGCCAGCTGCTGGAGAAGTGGGCCTCCTGTGCCTGCCCCAGCAGGCAGGCTTGTTGCAAGGGCTCCCATCATCCCACTTGGAGGCCAGACCCTGAGAGCTCAGGCTCCAAGCCACAGCTACCACAAGGGGCTGATGGGCACCTCATACCCCCTCAGAGGGACACAAGGCTGAGGAGAGCCACCAGCCACCTTCCTCCCTTCCATATGGTCACTAGGCAGCCGCTGCTGCCACACTGGAAGCTGCCACCACCCCCGCTCCAAAACCATCACCTGAGACTTTCCCAATTGTAGAGCTTCCTTTCTGGCACATAAACTTTAGTGCTGACCAAGGGCCAGCTGTTTCATATTTCTCTTCCCCCATGCCATTCCCAGGAATTACGGCCCCCAGGTGGGAGGGCAGGGATAAGCAGGAAATCATCCAAGCCTTTTCCAAGTTGCCCATTTCTACTAAAGCATTTATTCCTACCACCCCTCTCCAAGCAGGTCCCTTCCCTGCTGAAGGAGTGCTGGCTCCAACCACAAGTCCCTACAACGTGCAAACTCACCAAGCCAGTTTCCTTAGCAGAGCACGTTTTGTCTGCACCAAGCAATGACATGGGCAGACTGAGCTCCTTGGTTTCTCAGGGGTACTTTTTCCCCTTGGAAAGTTTTAGGTGCATGAGGACCACCTTTTAGTTCATGAGGACTCTTCCTCTAAGCCACACTTGCACCAGGGTACAGAATTAACATAAGGGCATTGAGGCCAGCAGTTCTCTGTTGCACACACTGCAAGTGTTAAAAATATGTCCAGCAAACGCTTCTCACCTATATGTGCATATCCAATTTCTGCTTTTGCCCTCAGGCACAAGCTGGGTTCCAGACAACATCTCCTCCTGTTGTTATGTCTTTTTACAACACCCATCTAGATTTTAAATCATCTTTTTTTTTCTTCCCCCTGTAGACTGCTTAATATTTTGATTTACAAAAACCTCAGCATTATATCAATTAAGAAGCAGTCTTCTACTCCATACACCTGGTTATTAATTAAAAGCCAGAAATCTCATATTGTTAATTGTGACAAAAAAAATCAGACCACAGTCACAAAGTTAGTTTCATATCCTAAACACTCTATATTCAAATTACAAAATCCTAAGTAATGAGTGCTTATTAAGAGTCACCATCATTCCCTGTGCTTCTGCAGTATAAAATACTGCATGAATCTGCAAACCAGATTAAGACATTTGACAGCAAAAAGGATTAGCTAGGATGCCTGGTAATACAAAACCTAAAATTAAATGATGTTATTAACAGTCAAAGCAACAACAAAAACAGAGTCCCAGACAGCCTGGGTAAATCACGCACCTTTCTAGCTCTACAGGTTTTTATATCTCTACAGTTACTGCCAACAGCATTTTCGTTCAAGAGAGGATTTGTATCTGCAGGGCTCGAAGCAAAGCTGTTCAGCTGGAGGTGCTGCTCATACGTGCTTCCTTCTCAACTAACAGGCATATTGATGCCTTAAGTTTTAGCTTTCATATTTTCCAGATTCTGCATTACTATATAACTCTGAATTTCATATAAAGTGTTAGCAAGTTCTCCTCATAGTTTAGTTAGACAAAACAATCCTTTTCCAGCCCAAGAACCAAGGACACCCTTACAGCTTCAGGCCCAAAAAGTGTAAACAACAGCAAACTGAGGAGAGCAATCTGAGAGTCTGAGACTTCATGACCTGAAGCTGTACTTGGACAGTTAACCCCAATATGTAAAACTTATAACACTGTGAAAACGTGTGATCCATCATCCATCTTGGGTGCAGCCTCGGCCAGGCTCCTGTATGCCCAAGGTGTATCCTTTGAAGGCCTTTTTAATAAATACCTGCTTTATTCCTACTTTATTCCTTTAACACTGTCTAGCCTCTGTTCTAGGTAGCCTCTCAAGGCATCAATACCAGGCATTTCATTTATCACCTTGCAGCCTGACCTGCTGCCCTGAGCAAGGAATAGCAGTCTGCAGCACCTTTACAGCTTATTTCTGTGTTTATTTTTTCCAGTAAAGACTGCATCTTGACAAGTTATGCTCAGGCAAGTAAGCCAGAACTGGCAGGAACACAACACTGATGTGTATCACCTCACAGAAGTGCAGCAGTTCAATGGCCTCTGGACTTCTGAACATTTCTGGGATTTCCTGAAGTGCCAGTACCATTCATTTCCTCTGCTCACGGGTTTTGGGAGGACCCAAATGTGTTCCTAGAGTGACTGAACACTGTTACCTCTTCACTGTACCCACAGAAAATTCAACAGTAAGAAAGTTTCCCTGCATCCTAAGAGGGAAACTACCTAGTCATAAAAGACTTGCTATCTCTAATAAAAGATCACATCAATCACTTGGATGTGGTAAGACACACAAGCAATCTACACAGGATTCCTCCTTACCTGGGGCTGGGAAGGGCTGGCAGTGAAGTTAAAGGCTTTGTTGGTCCTAGAAAACAAATGCCAGAATATTGAAGTCTAAAACTTTCAGAGCTGGAATACACACAAAGTACCCTCAGATTACAAGAATTTCTTTTTTTTTTCCCCTGGGAATGAAAAATAAGGGAAAGAGTAGGGAGACGGACCCTTAAATGAGGTTCAAGTGATACATGAAGAAATTGTATTTATATTCTCACATCCTAGCTTACTCAAGTTGGAAGTTCTCCAGCTTGGTGACTAGCAGCTCATATGCAATATTGAACGGTGCCATGGAAGCGACGTCCACAAATATGATCTGGTCAGAAGGTCTTGTTTCAGGTGTTGGCTCAGAGGGACAGAGGGTCCGACTCACTTCTTGATAATTGTAGGTCCTCTGATACCTACAATAGCCAGGGGAAGGAGGGAGGAAAAAGTTGGATGAGAAAGAGAGAGAGAGCAGTTAAAAAGTTTTTCAGCACTACCAAGAATGGCATCATTTTTCCTCTGCTTGCATAACTGAAATTCTCATCTGAAAGGTCAGGAGCATTCACTCTTTTATTCATCATTCAAGCTCCACCTCTGCTGCCTCTTGCAATCTGTTCAAGGGACTGGTCATCCTCAACATTTCACTTCCCTTGCAGATGCCCACGACAGCTGTGGATCTCTAACATCTGCCACTTAGTGGAGGCAAAGAGAGCACTGACAGCCACCACTGTACCCATTGCCTGCATCAGGCAAAACACTGCAGGAGATCTGCTGCTGGCACCAGGATTCAGTCACAGATGAAGCTTCACATCTTAAATGGTCTAAGGTGCCTGAAAATTCTGTTTGCAGCCCAACAAGTTCTGGGTTAATGAAGATACAAAGCAGCATTGCTTTCATAAAGAAGCAGCCCCAAAACAACCATCCCCTAGAATAAACTTAATGTAGATGTTTCTGAGGTGAGAAACAGAAGCTCTTTTTCCCCAAATGCACTGTTACACAGAAGTTATAGTGCTCTTTCAAGAGCCTGTTCGAACTCTGCCCCAAACCAGAGCCCAGAAACTACCTGCACACATGGTAGGCAACTGTGGAATAACAGTAATGATGTGTGGTAGACTCAGTGATTGGTGCCACAGGGAGATCCCCCACAGACAAGCCTCCTGGTACTCTGTGTACATATCTGAGAAACTAAGAGCCAAGAGCAGGCTTCCAAGTAAGAGGTTACCTATCAAATCCTGGTCTTCCTACACCCAGCTGGCAGTGAGCAATAACGTTCTGCAACAAAGCCCTGCAGTCTACACAGGTTCCAAGATGCAGCACGTGAGGAAGGCTGCTGATGAATACAGCTGATAGAGGAGTGTGTCACAAAGAAGAGACTCCAGTACTTACAGGCCTCGAAAAATCAGTGGGACCTGCCATGACAGCACTCCCTTCTGCTGGCGAACTACAAACAGGATAGGGTATCGGAGGTTCTCGGAGCTGCTATTCACGTACACCCGCACTGCATCGACCTGTGGGAAAAGAGAGTATAAGCTTGAAGGTAAGAGAAGAAGGCAGCTCCAAATCTAGGTGAGAGAAGCCTTTCCCTCTTCCTCAGTCTGACCTAGGTGCTGACAATATGCATAGGCAGATCAGCAGTGTTTATCACTAGACTAATTATTCAGATCCAGAAGTCATTTACAGAAGTGCCTCTCTGCTGATGCTGCAGTCCAGAATCAGAGCCCTGTGCCCAGGTCAGAGGTGACTGTCAGACAAGATACAGTGGGCAAATGCACAATACACAAGGGAGTTCAGTAGCTTCTGTTGGGAGCAACCTACATAAATTATCTTCCAAAAATTAAGCAAACAGATGCAGACAAACAAGACAAAGACCTAAAGCTACAACTAAGAACTTTCTTGCCGAGACTCTTATGTACCCAACTCAATCAACATTACTGGGAAAGTCACAAAGATGACATCAATAGCCAAGGATGAAAAAGCAGATTAGTAGCTGGCTCTCATGTAAACAATTCCAGTATGACCATAATCCCACCTAACAAAACAGGAATACACTGCTGGCTGCCCTCAAGTGGACAAGAAAGGCTGCTTGTGAGAAAGGGTTTTAATGTACCAGCAGCTGAAATTTATCCTTACATTAACATTGGCCACCACATGGTTGCAGAGGTAGGACAGCTGTGGTGTAAAACACTCTCAGTTCACTATTTGAGAAGCAAGAAGTTTGTCTGCACCACATGGAAGTGTCACCATTTCCATTTGAAAACAGCATCCCTTCAGCTCCCTCTCCAGAACTGTAGACACTGATCAAGAATACAAAATACAAGAGTGCATAACTCATCATATGATAAGAAACAGTCCATCTCATTTAGAGGCCTTGAAATAATGAAAGCATATTAAGTAGATAATATTTTAAACCTGCCACATCTTGAAAGATTATAATGGACTCTCACTAGATCAGTGAAAGACTTCTCACAGATATTCTGACTTTATACCCTCCAAGAAGAGTAAAGGTACAAAGAGGTAGCATCTTCTGAAAAGAACATACAGACTTAGCAAGGTAGACGAAGGAGAGTTATCAGAGACAGCAGCTTATTCTTACCCTGATGACACAAATTTCAGAGAAATTACTTACATCCGACATTCCAAGTCAAAGAAAATGTCCTATTTATTCTTGTTTGGTGATTCTAGGCTCACATGGGAGTTGAGTCTAGTAGAACAAGAAACCTTCCTGAAAGCCATAATCATTATCAGTTCTCCTGACATTATCACCATAATACAGAGGCAATAGCCACCAATTCCTAAAGAATTAGGTTTTCAACAAAAAAAATCCCAAATAACTTAATTAAACCTCCTTGAAACAGAAGGGTAGACATTAGATTCTCTTCCCTTGCCTTCTGACTTCTAAACCTTTGCAAAGCTCATTTGGCCTGCTTTCCAGTTTTTCCTTCCAGTCACAAAAACTATATATGCAATTTTGTTTACAAGTATACTTCAACATAAGGTGCTAAAACAAAGTTAAGAAAAACAGCACCACAAAGCAAATCACACCAGGAACGCCTGAAGGTTATCACCACAGGCAGCACTGGAAAGTAACTCAGTGGCTTCCTTAGTCCCTGTAGCTGCCCTGAGGGAGCCAAGCCAGCACACATTGGTGCAACTTGGAAACACAGGGACTGGACTGAACAAACTCCTGCTTGTTTGTTGGTGTTTGCTGTGACAAGGAATGAGGACACGAATGAAGCAACTGGAACTGAACAAGAAAACAAATCTAAGGAGCATGACGACACAATGATCAAGCCACTTTCCTGCAAGGACATGGAACAATTTTCCACCCATGAGGAAAACACACAAGCCAGTATCACTGCAGAAAGGACACATTTCAGCTACCTGTCCAGCAGCTTTTTGCCCACTAAACAGTTCAAGCAAGCCCACCTCCAGAGGTGAAGTGATTCTTGCTTGCCTCAGGTTGGACATGCCCCCTCCAGGGCTCAGTGTAATGGGGAGCTCACATCGAACTCATAGCAAATAGCACTACTGGCTTAAGTGTCCCAAACTACCCATAAATACAAGCCAGAGATTGGGAAATTCTCTTCTCCATTGACTTCACAAATACAGACCATAATCCAGGACATGAGTTATGCATATATGGCAGATAGTCAGGTTTTCTTAATTGTACATGAGTATGTGTACATTAAATGAGTACAATTTATTCCCAGCCCTCTCAGCCTCTCCTTATAGGAGAGGCGTTCCAGTGCCTTCATTACCTTTGTGGCTCTGCACTGAACTCACTCCAGTAAGTCCACACCTTCCTTATACTGGGGAGACCAGAATTGGATACAAGCAGGATTACCTAGAGCTAGCTGACCATGGATGGAGACTCCACAACCTCTCTGGGAGACCTGTTATGATGACTGACCATCCTCAGTAAGAAAACAGTTTCCCATCTATTCTAGAGAAGGGCAAGGGAAGGGAAACAAAAGCACTGGTGATTAATGCTCTGACAGAGAAAAGCCTGAGAAGTGGGAAAAAGTCCCTTCCCTCTGCTGTCATCCAGCAGCCAGACCCCTCATTTGGTATCCCTCTCTCCACAAAATTAAGTTGATCATACACCACCTAAAACATTCATTCACCTTTGCTGCTGATTCTGTTATCTTATAATACATGTAGGAAATAGGAATATCAGGAGGGAAGTACGAGTCTCATGACTTGATACTCTTTTAAATCTAGGCACTTACCCACGTGAAAACTGGTATATGCCATAATACTACCATTCTCTACATCCTTACTGTGCTCAGCACTCTGTATTTGCTCTCTGTAACAGCTGGTTATAGCTCCTTTGCCCTGCTCTCCTAAAAGTCCATATTCAGGTGCCTTGAGTTCTTTTTTATCTAATATTTGAGGCAACATTCAGCTGCATCAAAGCAGGACCACCTATGGCCTAAGTATGGGCTCACAGATGGGATCCACTACACTTCTTTCCCCCCGCCTCACCTTTCTCTTGGCACTCTACACAGACAAAGCTGCTTCCCAGGCCACATTCAAACAGGGTGCTTCAAACAGAGAGGAGCATCAGACAGTCAGAAGCAATAGTAACAGAGCAGCTCATTAAGAAGATCCCACTGTACTTGAAATTTCACCTCAATATACCAACGATTCACTTGCAATGAATACCTCTGTACCTCCTACATTTGCACATACCCAGATCAATCAGGAGCATCACACTGCCTAACCCCATCACCATCTTTATATAATAAATATAATAAATATTATTTATATTATTCATATAATAAACAATAAACTCCAGGAAAAAAACAGGGTGATTAAGAAGCTGGACAGATAGCAATTGAGGTTCCATTCCATCTAGTTATTTACCCTGCTGCCATCACCACAGCAACACAGAGCTCTTGTGGGCAGATCCTGCACTTCCAGTGGAGGGGCCAGATCCCAATCCCAGGGTGCAGCTCTGCTCTCCCCTCACAGGATCTCAGGGATACAACAGCAGCTCCCAACAGCTTTGGTTGATGGACATCTTTCTTATACAACAGTTGTTTCTGCCAAACACTGCAATAAAACAGGTGGGATTTGCCTGCTGGCCAAACCTGCACATGAAGTATCCAATTAATGGTTAAAGACTTGGAAATAAGCTTCGTGTACGTCCAGAAAAATGTAGGTGCAATTTCCAAGCAAGGAAGCTTGGAAAAGCACAGAAAGAATTACCATTTAACTGCAACCAGGGCTTCTCTTCAGCTGTTGCCACTCACTCTCCAATTTAGTGCTACAGATCAGAAGGAACCCTAATTAGTGTCTTGGAGAAAGACATTTTCCCTGACGGGATGAACTGTCTAGCAGGACAAGGGACAGGGATAAAAATGTAACACCTATGAATGGACATTAATGGTTTTTTAGGCCTTCTTCTATTTGACCTTCCTTAAACTTTTAATCCATGCTTTGCTTCTAGATTCTCTTGCCTTGATACAGACAACATATATATTTTCATGCTAAGATTTAATGAATTCACTGTTGAGCCAATGCTAGTAATCTCATCTTTCCCTTTCAAAGTCAGCATTTGGCATTTGCCTTCAGCAAAATATTTTTAGAAGAGTGAAAAAAAGCAGGAGGTGAAGAAAAAAAAAGGTGATTTATTTACTTCAAACATGCTTCCCCCTCCACACTTTTCCAAAGGTTATTCCATTTGAAAAACAAGCAGTTCTAATGCAAGAACCCTTCCTTGCTACAGAATCACTGCTCCCATTACACATACCTCTCCCTTCCAACACAAAACTATGTAAAGACAAGAAGAACTCCAGTGAATAAACCATGTTTTAATTTAAAATTATAATCACTGCAAAGACTACGAGCCTCCTCTGCATCCATCCCCACTCACATAGTACTGGTGAGATGAGGAAGTTTTGCCTGGGCAGTAACAGGGTCAACCAGACTGCTGTCACTCCTGCATTGCCAACACTACTGAGGGACTTCATTTTGGAGCAGATCATTGCCAGCCCCACAAAAAACTAGTTGCACCTTCCCCTTCCTTAATAGGGGAATTCCTCCATAACAGGAGGCTAGCGACATTGGTATATAGCGCTAGATTTCATCTGCACCCTCCAAGCTGAAACCCTCATCTTGGGAAAAAAACTTGTGTACCAAATGCTCCTTTTGACAAGCCAGGCCCTGCACAAATATTTGTCAGCAATAACCATACTACTGTCTTTTGTGCTGCGGGGCTGAGGCAGGATCAGGACTGATTCAGAGACTTCTGCTCCTCACATTCCTTCCCAGTGCCAAGGCTCTGCTGTCTGCAGGGGCTATTCACCTGCCATGGTCATGACAGTTTTGTTTCTCAGATGACTGACCTTGAAGTTTCTCCTATGTTTCAAGCTGGACAGAGCAGTAAGACAGCTGAATAAAGAGAACGCTTTCAGCTCTGTATAAAAACGTGTTAGACCAGGAAAGACAAATATTTGTACTTCAGTTCCACCACCACAGAGATCGGGGGAGAGAAGAAAAGAAA